TAGGTGTATAAGGATCCCAGGGCTAAGGGCCCATACTAGGGGGTCATGGGTTCAACCTGAGAACGAGAGGGTCTACAGGGCTTAGGGGGTCTATAGGGCTTATGGGATTTAGGGTTTGGGGTTTGGGGGTTTAGGGTTTTGGGGTTTAGGGTTTGGGGTTTGGGGTTTAGGGGTTTTGGGGTTTAGGGACTGGGAGTTTAGGGTTTAGGGGTTTGGGGTTTAGGGGTTATACTCGGTTTCTCATAGTGACCATGGTATTAGCGGACAATATTACACGCTATTTAGGCTTCTATATAGGTGGTTGTCAAAATTATGGTCCCTTTTGGGGTCCTTATAATAATACGGCACCTATTATTTATGGTACCCCAAAAGGGACCATAATTTTGACAACTACCCATATTACAAGGCTCTAGGGTTTCCAGCGAAGACACCGAAAGGTCGCAGTTTCAACTTCTTGGGGGGAGTGGGCTTCGAAAAGGACAAAGCCCAGGGGGTGGCCATTGAAAATTCTGGCTTACATAATATAGGGGCCTTAATAGTTAGAATAGGGTTTTGGGGCCCAGTATACTATAATGATAATACGGAACCCAAAATAATATAGGTAAGTTTTTCAGGCCCCTACATTACATGCTGGTTGAAACCAGCCTGCTAGAAGGCAGATGCCATAGAAGGACATTGGTCAACAGAACCCCAAAAGCTCGAAGCGGTCCTGACCATATGGGTAGTTTTCGAAATTAGGGTCCCTTTTAGGGTCCATATTATAAGGGTGCCGTACTATATTGGGGACCCAAAAAGGGACCCTAATTTAGAGAACTGCCCATATGATGTTGCAATGTAGTATACGACAACACTATACTATTCCATTACGTACACTTTCATACCCAAACCTCCAGTCGCATTGTTCCTCTTCCATTATTTTGTATTGCACTCTGTACCCTAAACCCTATAAACCCGAAACCCTAAACCCTTAAACCCAAACCCCTAAACTTTAAACCCCTAAA